TTTTTATTATTTAAAATTATTATAGTTTTAAGACTTAAGTTTTTTTTTAGGATTCTTTGATGAAATAAAAAAAGTTCAAAAGAAAATTTAACAGATTTCTTTGTAACAATGCAAAATGTCTTTACTGTCACTTTGATCAATTTAATGCATCCTGGGTAAGTAGAAATAATAATTTTTTTCAAAAAAGAAATCTTACCCCAAATCTTTGAAAGGTAGTGAACAGTATATTTTTACAAAAATGTTTTAATACATTTAATACAAATTTTACCAACTCCTAACACTTGATGTATATCAATATATTTTCTGTATGGAGAGTCCTTATATATGTTTTGGAGGAGTTGTTTTTCCTGTTTTGAAGAGAATATTTGAGTTTACTGTAGTTCAGTTATAGGTGCAGTTGTAGAATAACTGAGTGTAAATTCTCCAAAGATACACCAATAAAAAGCTCTCTGTCTTTCAGAGCCATTTGATGCTGCTTTAGGCGTGTCGGGTACAGTGGCGCCCCCTCTGGCAGAGCAGCTGCAAAACGAGCCCTGGTTCCACGGACCTCTAAGCCGCAGGCAGGCCGAAAGACTCCTGACCAAGGATGGAGACTTCCTGGTGAGGGAGTCAGGCACCACACCAGGCCAGTACGTCCTCACTGGACAGCAGGGCAACCAACCTAAACACCTGCTTCTGGTGGATCCAGAGGGAGTGGTGAGTAATGTGATGAAATATACCACACTCTCAACATTTTGTCCTTGATAAAACATTATATAATTCTATAGCATGTTAATACTTATACTAATTCTTTTTTTTTCCTTTCATAGGTGCGCACCAAAGACCACCGCTTCGAGAATGTCAGTCACTTGATTAGCTATCACATGGACAACCGGCTGCCAATCATCTCGGCAGGAAGTGAGGTGTGTCTGCAGCAGCCAGTTGATCGCCGAGCTTAAAAAAAAAAAAATTTCTCCAACACATTGAAGAGAAAAAAAACTCCTCTCTTTCCTACTTTTTTGCCAGACTCTATTAGAGAAAAACATTTTTTTTCCAGTTGGGAGTGTAAGCTAATCATATCTTCACAGAAACAGAACTTTGTACCGCATCAACCACCGGCCATGAAATTGCAAAACGATGCAATCATTTTACTCAAGGACAAACAGACACGTCGCTTGAAATAAGCGAATACAAAAAGCCAAACGATGAGGCGTTTGAAAGAGAAGCAGATGCGTAATGGATGTGACATCACTTCCCAAACA